TATATATAGATATATATATATATATATATATATATATATATGTATGTGTATGTAAGTATGTATGTGTCTATTTTCGAGTTATAGCCCCCACTGGAGAAAACTCCACCAGCTGCCACTGGATTTAGGAAGAATGATTAATTGTATGTATGAGGGGAGTTTATACAGTAAGAATGTGCAATTAGAGATATGACTTCCTACACTGTGTACCTCCATTTAGTTCACCCCTTTTTGTTGATATCCACAGAGCTGGTCATTATTTTCAAATCTTGCTCAGATCTCATTTCTTTTTCTTGTTTTAGTGCTTTATTAACTCTCTGAACTGTATTTGTACCTTGCTGTAAACCATCATAGTCACACAGGCTTTGTCAAATTGGTAATTTCAGATTTGTCGCAGTATTTGTATCTCATTATGTTATTATAATAGAAAACAACAATTTGTACCTGGGGTGGGGAGAGGGGGGTTCTGGGTACTGTAAACCAAAATCCTCCCATGGCATACACAGATTTGTTGTATTAGACCTACTTACATGCGAGCACACATTTGTATAATCGCTCCTTTAACATTTACGCCTCCGTTTGTGGGATGCTGCTTTCAATGGCTTGGAGGGAAAATAATGCAGAAAAAGCTCTTTTCTTCAATAATGGCTCCTCAGGCACCCTGTCTCTCAGAGAATTGATGTGTAGCATGTCTGTCACTCATTACAGGACATGACGAGCTACATCTACAGAGAAGCACACAATCATCTCTCTGTCTGTAATTGTCCTTATTTGTCAGATTAATTCTCAGCCCATCTTTTTGTTGTGTTACATCTTTGTGTCCATGTGCAGGATCTCCATGATCTGAGAAATCCATCAGTACACTGATTAGCACATTATGACCATCTGTCATGCTTAAGGTGACTTTTTTTTTGTCATCACAAAGGTTGTGACCAATGAAAGCACAACAAAGAACATAGTTGAGTGTCCTCTAGTTAATGGTATTTTAGAAAGTTAGCTTTGGGTTCTGTGGGTGGTGGGATTATCTCCCAGTAGAGTGAGCTTGCCACCCATAGATGCCTTTAGATCCTTTCAAATTGGGATCCTAGGAGTCTAGAGTCCACATGAATACCTTAAACTGCAAATTGTGTTCACATAAGCTCCTTTAAGAGTGATATTATACTGAGCTGAGACTACTAGATTAGTTTGTGAAAAAAAATGTATGCATCAAAATGTGTAGAAAATTGCAACAAAAAAAACAAACAAAAAACAAAACAAAAAAGAACAGTCTCACTGAAGCCATGACCAACTAGTTGAACACTTGTACTTTAAAGAGCTGTTTATCATTATTAATATTTTGTTTTTTTTAAGCTTGGCCTTTTTTGGATGCAATGTTGCAAATCAGCATTCTTGGCCCTGCACATAAACCGTATAAATATGTGCAAGGACATCATTATGGCACATTTGTATGCAAAGGCATCGCAACAATTATATGTGAAGGAGACATGTCCCCCCACATTTATCCATCCATCCATTATCTTTACCCGTTTATTCCATTTTGGGTCACGGGGGTCGCTGGTGCCCATGTCCAGCAATCACTGTGCGAGGGGCGGGGTACACCCTGGACGGGTCTCCAGTCCATCACAGGGCCACATAGAGACAAACGAGACAAACAACCGTTCACTCTCTCACTCACACCTAGGGACAATTTAGAGTTACCAATCAGCCTAACATGCATGTTTTTGGTCTGTGGGAGGAAACCGGAGCACCCGGAGAAAACCCACGCATGCACGGAGAGAACATGCAAACTCCACCCAGAAAGGCCCCTGGACTGGGGTTTGAACCAAGGACCTTCTCGCTGAGAGGCAGCAGCTCTACCAGTTGCGCCACCGTGCTGCCCCCCCCCCCCCCCCCCACCACACACATTTAAAAAATATTAATTTGGACCCCTCTACATTTACCATGAAAGATTGGTTCAACCAACGCTGTTTCTATTTCTTCATGAACAAATCTATTCCACTTGATTAATATGAGAATACTCAAACCACTAAAAATTCACTCCAGGTTTTCCAGGTTACCTAAAACAACTCACCACATGTGGAGTTTCCTCTAGGTCACTTGGCTTGGCAGGACGCTCATCTCAGAGGGGTGTTTTGTGTCGACAAGGCAGGGGGAGGAGGGGGAGACACCTCTTTGTTGCGCGCTAGCTGAACGCTACGTTAGTACAGGCAATTGACCAGGGTGGGAGAGGTTTAGGACATAGTGGTGTAGGATGCGTGAGAGAAACAGAGTGCTACGTTTGTAGCGTCAAAGCTAGTGCATTTGCATTGTGTGCTGCTAGCTTAGCTCTACATTAGTGCTGGCAGTTGTAGATGGGGGTGGGGGTGGGGGATTTTGGTCAGGCTCCTCTAAAACAGTTATTGAAACAAGTGTTTACTTACAGGATGTAGGTAAACATATATGTTTAATAACCTGTTAAAATACACCAGAATGCAGGAAATGGCATCTGCTTTATTAAAAATTTTCTGGGGGAGGACCCTCCCCCCCCAAATAAAAAAGCAAAAACAGGGAGCCCTCCCCACATTACAAATGCTTCTGACACCAATGTTTGTATGACATTTTAAAGCACAGTAGGAAGACTGTGCACATATTTTCTTGTTTCACACACAGCTCTAAATAGTGACGTGAGTTGTGCGTTTTTCGATTCATAACTGAAGGAGACTGTTCTTCGAAACATTGATTATTGTTCTCCTCCATCAGTCTCCCTCTGAGTGGTGCCGATGAAGGCTATACCTACAACTCTTACAAAATGTGTGTGATGGAAACTTTCTGAAAAATGTTCATTTTTTTTTATTTTTTTACTTCTTAGTATTTTAACACATAAAAATAAAATCTGTGTAGTTTTATTGATTTATTATTATTTAAGTTTTTTTTTTTTAAGAATGGGAGCTGACGTTGAAACAAAATAATTGATTTTACATTATTTTTATTTTGATAAAGTTGATCAAAATACAAAGTTTATATTCAAATAGCATGTTGGAGTGGAATAGAGTGATTAGAATAGATCAGATTATATTCTACTGTATTGACCTTTTTGAAATATTAGTTCAGGGTAAAACAGGTTGTTTTACATTTTGATGCCTCCTCTGCCCGCCGCAGCACAATTTGTTCCCATTCTGGCATCCACGCCCACATTTATCTTTTATTCTGCTGGAGTGCACTTTTCAAATGAAGACTGGTACATCTGGATAATTTTTTCAATAAACATTATCAATCAGCATCATTTTTAGATCTGGACATTCGCCTCAGATATTTTCTGCCTGATGAGAAATTCTGCGCATGTGTCAAACTATATACAGTATAAAAATTCAGCTTTAGTGCCCTTGGAATGAGTTAGAGACGTTGTTTCCACAAACTTCCTGTAGTTTCATTATCTTTCTATTTCCACACAGCAACTTTAAGGTATAAAAAATGTCACAAGCTAAATATCAGAATCCTGATGATTCTGACTCGGAGAGGTAGACCCACTTCAAGACTCATTGCTACATCTTCCTGCTCAATCAGTGTATTTGTGTGTTTACATGCTTACACCAAAGGCAAGTCTTTTATACGTGTGCTAATTTTAGATAAACACAGACACGAAACCCCCTGTCATTCATAATAAATGACACAATCTTGGGTCTTTATCCATCCATCCATTATCTTTACCCGTTTATTCCATTTTGGGTCACTGGGGTCGCTGGTGCCCATGTCCAGCAATCACTGTGCGAGGGGCGGGGTACACCCTGGACGGGTCGCAAGTCCATCACAGGGACACATAGAGACAAATGAGACAAACAACCATTCACTCTCTCACTCACACCTAGGGACAATTTAGAGTTACCAATCAGCCTAACATGCATGTTTTTGGTCTGTGGGAGGAAACCGGAGTACCCGGAGAAAACCCACGCATGCACGGAGAGAACATGCAAACTCCACCCAGAAAGGACCCTGGACCGGGGTTGGGTCTTTATATGTTATTTAATTTATTTTTTTATTTCTTTGACAGTGATGCATGTGTGTTTTTGCGTCTTCACGTAACTTTTCACTGCCTTGAGTGAACCAGTTTTATGGCTCCCTTTGTTTTCTCTCTTTCAGGTTACAACTTCTGCGCAGAGGGACTCATTTGTGGAGAAAACTCAGAGTGTAAAAACAGGAATACTAAAGCAGAGTGTGAATGCAGGAGCGGCTATGCCTCCATCTATGGGGATTCCACGTACTGTGAAGGTACGACTTTAAATTACTCAGCGCAGGATGGGCAGAGGCTCATGTGGCTGACAAAATATATATTAGCTCTGATTAAAAAAAAAGGCTGTATGGATAGCAGTGGGCGAGAGCGTTTAATTCATTTTCCAGGGATTGTATGAGGGCTGTGAGATTTGTGTACGACATGATGATGACTGGCTGTAACAAGAACAAAGAATGCTTTAAGAAAGCATAACTGTGAAGCTGGATGTGAGAAAAAAAAACATATTTTGAGGAAAGTCAGTGAAATATGAGTTGATGTGCTTTTTTAAAAATGGAAATGTAACTATAATTAGGGGGTTATGAATATATGCTTTAAACCTGTCAAGAGGTTTTTTGTTGGCTTAATGTCCTAATAATACTTATTGCTACAGCCAGTCTTCTCCTAAATGATAGGTTTGAAATAGACTTTGGTTTCCTGTTTACCAGTCAGTCAATTAAATAATAGTAATGCATAGTTTTCATGCTCAGCTGGATTTCCCATTAATATGTTTTTGCAAGCTTTCAGACTCTTACAAGGAACAGTTCAGTTGCCTTTCAGCAGAATGAGCAGACTGCACATAAACCTGTCAGAGTTATGTTTCAGATTCAAGGGTCAGCTTGTGTCTTTTTAGATATACACTTTGTCATAATTCTTAATATCTTAAGTAAATTAAATTTTGCTTTGCTACATTCAAGTTGTTGACCTTGTTCAGCACTTGTGGCTCATGCTACAGATCTTGCTTACCAGACTTTTCCTAGAAAACACAGCCTGGATTTAAGAGTGCTTCTTGCTAATTTTTTTGTAAAACGTCACCCATCAGTGATTTCTGTGTGTGGATTGTTAGCTGAATAAAAGCCCCACATTATGGGGACTGGAAGCGCAGATTACTTGAGATGAAGCCAGTGGCTTTATTTGATTAAGAAGCTTGGGAGCATCATTGTACGGATTGAAGGATTTGCTCTGTGTTTGGTGCGGTTGTCTTTGGATCATAGCCACACAAGTCTGACTTCAATAGGCATGTTCAGAGCCTTGCGTCGCAGTGAGCCTTCCAGCCTGTCAGCATCTGTTTGAACTGTATCAGAGGTTTTCCCAGAGCTCCATTCCATCCCACATCTGTCCCATCTCGTATGACTGAGGGCTGGGAAACTGTGATTGTTAGATCAACATTGTAAACCATCGAGCCATGGCTGCTGCAGCTGCATTATCTGTGTTTGAGTTTGTGCCCTAAAGCCAGCTGAAACTTCTATTGTTACTGGATTTGTAGGGTATCACTGCTCAGGATGGTGATATTTAACATCTCATTTCTCTCTCAACCAACTCCCAAATGGCTAAAGATAGAAATTCTTACACATGGAGCAATAATGTTATTTTTGAGGGGGTTTAACTTGAGCGATAAAAGCACAGCAAGCTGATAAGGTTTCATTGATGTCCTAAAAGTTCATTTTTTTCAATCAAACCGCTGTTTTTGTATTTTACAAACAGCTGTGCTCTATCCATCGTTAAATGTATGCAATACGTTACTCGTAAAAATTTTATTGTGTGTCTAATAGCATCAGTTTACAATCAGAAAGCAGTTTCAGAAGAGTTTCAAGAGATCCCAGTTCTGTATTTATTGCTCTTGGTCACCTCAGGGTATTGTAATGAAATTATCACCAATTTAAAGTCTAGCATTTCTTCCAGATATCCACCTGTTTAGTTTTAAACTAAGATCATCTTATGATGAGAAGGGATAAAGGTAATGCCACTTTAGTCAAACCATGTTAATAATGATGTGCACAACTGAATGCAATATTGTAACATTGGACATAATCTGTTAAAAACATCTGTTGAGGCTGACTATCAGCTATTGCATCAGCTGTTAGCTCAACATTCTAGCCATGTACGCGTTAGCTAACGCCAATTAGTAAATATCCTGAATTGGCTTAACTCCAAGTTTATTAGTTATATGCAGCAGCCCCTCGTTTATTGGGGGGGGATCCATGCCCTGAAGCCTTGCGTTAAGTGAAAAACTGCATAGTAAGAATAGAAGTACAAGTAGTAGTTTATTTTAGTGTTTATTTGTTTATATGTATATATGAATATATATATATATATATATATATATATATATATATATATATATATA